GACGCTTTTGCACGAGATCTCTATTAGGCCCCAAAGGTAACTGCTGTATTTTTAAGAATCGTGATCTTTAAAAGAATATTTACTACTACTACTACTACTACTACTACTACTACTACTACTACTACTACTACTACTACTACTACTACTACTACTACTACTACTACTACTACTACTACTACTACTACTACTACTACTACTACTACTACTACTACTACTACTACTACTACTACTACTACTAATACTACTACTACTACTTTTGGCCTGTTATTTTAGTTCTGGTGTATTTTGGATATATTTGAAAGCTATTTTGCAGCATGGCTTTTGATGGGAACTTCCAAAGCCATGATTATTTACCCCCAGAAGTAACTGCTGTATTTTTTATGTAGATGTGATCTTTGAATAGAATATTTGATACTACCACTACTATTACTACTACTGGCACTATAACTGGCCTGTTACTTTTGGTTCTGGTATATCTTGGGTATATTGGAACGTTATTTTGCAGCATGGCTTTTGGTGGAACTAAGCCATTAATAATATCAGTAGAAAATCCACAACAGTTGTTAGTAGGTTTAGGTTACATAAACAACACAAGTTACAATTTGGTTACTGTTTACAGCAGTGTTTCTGAATGTGCAATTGAAGTATTAAAAAAATATTATTTATGATACAATTTAGATCTTTGAGTATGCTTTAATAGGACATAAATTGCATTAAAACAAGAAAATGCAATAGTAAGCTCGAAAATAAGAAGGCGTTTTAACAGATTTATACTACACTACTATACTATAAAGGGGGTACTTGGGGTGTTAGTAAAAATTCAGGGGGTCCTAAAGTTTTGAGAATCACTGGTTTAAAAGCACCTGAGGACATAGTCGTATAATTCATTGTCTATGGGAGCACATGCATAGACTAGTTATGAAGTCAAGTCACCACTCAATGGAATGATTTCAGGACTAACAGTGCAGGATGACTGTGCTAAATGTCAAATGCAGATTCTTCAAAGCTGTGAGGTTTACAGAGCTTTATGAAGACTGACAAAGGAGGAGCAGAGAGACTGAGGGAAGGGAAGCATATTAAAGAAAGTTCAATTCAAATGTGTCTATGCCTGGGCTTTTATTGATCATGTTATTTTTGTCAGCCACTATGGTCTTTAGGTGAGACTAAGGCAGACCTAATAATTAAAAGTGGCAATATTGAGCATCAATGTTGAGAATTAACAGAATATATGTACAGAAAATACATACTCTGGGTGCTAATTTTGAGTGCCTGTATTCTGGTACAGTTACTCTTTCATCTGGTGGCAGAAATACAGTTACTCTTTTAAAATTGGAGGAATAGACAGTGGCACAAATTGTGCAATGGTGGTACAAAGAGACAAAAACAATATTTTCTTTTCAACCATCTCAACAAAGAGAAACTGAAATAGCCAAAGTTAGGATCCAGAAAGTATACTCGAAAAACTGGATTGTATTATCATGTTTTTGGAACTTTTTACACTTTTTATAGAATTCATATGGCACCAATAAAAAGTGGGACATTCTCTAAATAAGTGGGGCGAGGGGCAGGGGCCTAAATGACAAAACAGGGACAGGTGGTCAGCAGTAGTGTGAGTCGTTCTAAAATCTAAAATACAAAAATATCCAAAAATAACACAGACAGCCGACTTCGCCACTGAGTTTGTAGTTGTCTACCTTGAGAATTACACTTTTGAAAGTTAGATTTCAAAGATGAGGTTGCTCTGCTGCTGCCTAGACTTTACCACCTCTTCATTAATTACTACAATTCATCTCACCTTCTGTCTCCTTCACAGTGCAGTTGCCATATAAATTTTCAGCTCTTTCACACACACATATACACAATGTACTTCTGTGGAACTCTTTTTATTATAATAACGGATTTTATGCTCAAGTTCTCCCAGTAACTCACAGCCCATATCTGTCTTCACTTCCTTTAATCTTTTACTTTGTCCTTTGTTACTTTGCTGTTTTGCACACACAAGTCTAGATACATATACACAGTCACAATGAGAGGGCGAGTGCAAAGCAGTGAGATAGTGAAGGCCGGGGGCGTGTTAGAGGATAGAAAGGGGGCAGTTTCTAGGAAAGCAATGCATGGGAAAATTGAGGAGCCATTTTCATGCCACATTAACTTACAGCAGCCTTCAACTGCAGGACTCTGACAAAGACGCCCTGACGCTATTGTGAAGGCTAATAATCAACGCACTGGAGTTAGAGGGCAGACCTAAGACAGCATCAAAGACTAGGCAAAGGCGATGGGGAAATGGACGCTGATGGATTGTATCAAATGCTGCTACTAGTTAATTTAATGCACTTCACATTTGATTAAATTGCAAGGTGCTTGTGGATGAATGGATGATTTCAAAGTTTGCAGGAAAAGTAGATCTTAAAGGTACACTGTGTAACTTTTCTAGTAGGGGTGCCCGCCACAAGCTTGTTTCCTTGGAGATATTATTGCTTTGACATTAAACTCATCTATGTTGCAGCTATTCAATTACAGTGTTTACTGCTCAAAAATACTATCTGACCTGTAACCTGGCCTACAGGCATTGCGGGCATGGAAATAGAAAAGTTTAATGCCATACTGTTGGACATTTAAGACAAAGCAATAACATTTGCATGAAGACAAGCAGGTGGCGAATCCCCTGCCAGAAAGTTACACATTGCACCTTTAAAGTGCAGTGACAGTTTTTCATTTTTTTCTAATTACTACCTAGTTTGGTGGGACAGTACTAGCGGTAAATATTTAATAATAGTTTTAAATAATTTAAATATTGAGAAGAAAAGTGCAAAAGCACAGGAAGTAGGACTCTGATCTAAAATAAAGTACCTCCACATATGTCACTAATGGGGAAAACTCCATCCAACATACAGGATAATTTATGCACAAGGAGAGCATTTTTCTGACAGTTTCAACCATCATTTAACAAAATAAAGGTGTTGTCATTTATTTTTATTAGTCTAATTATTTAGTATTTTAAGCAAGTTTTGGCCTTTGTTAACATTATGGTTTCTAGGTATCAGTTACGAAATTATTTCTAGGTATTATTTCTGTGTATATCATATCTGCTGCCCATGTCCAAACAGGAAACCAAATTATAACAAAAAATGAAAAACTTTTAAAAAATAATCTTATGTATAACGGTGTTAACTATTAGTTTTTCTTATATGAATGGTCGGACTGGCCATATACACATCACCTTTTTATGTCTGTTCCATATCTATGCTAAAAAGTTTCTTCATTGCCCCTATAGGGGCAAAGTACTTGTCATGATTGTAAATAACTGCCCCCGTTACCATGGCGTCTGTACATTACCATCAGAGAAAGGACCTTATCTGTGCATGTGTGATATCTTTCTTGCTCTTGCACGCATACTGTGGAGTCCCATGTGGGAATATTTCTGAGAAAGCTATCAAGATGTTAACAGTGATGCTTGTCAACCTCTCAAGACAATAGCAGTAAATGTGTAACAACACAAGGGAATTATTGACACATTGTCATGCTCCACTTCAAAGATACTAATAAATTGTCACATAACGTCTAGTATGTCCTTAGGCGATCTTGTTTAGAAATACAGCCACTGAATCTTATTCTATGCAGCTGTTATTGCTTATTATGTTTAAGGCTGATTATGTGTGTAAATATATATATATATATATATATATATATATATATATATATATATATATATATATATATATATATATATTTGTATATTTGTATTAAAAGAACAATAGAGTTAAAGGTGCACTAAGTAACATTATGGTTGGCGGTTACCTGCTTGTTTCTATGGATACGTCATTGCTCTTCCTGGAATGTTCCACATTATGACATTAAACAGCTCTAACTTGCATTTATTGCATTACAGTATATGATTTTATAGCTCAAAAATACTCAAAAGGCATTCTGGCTGTGAGCGAGGTTGCCTCTCCACAGATCTGAGCTGTAACTTGGTCTGGTTTTGGTCTCCATGAAGATTGAAATGTTTACCGCCATACTGTGAAGTATTCCAGACAAAGCAATAATATTTCCATGGAGAAAAGCATTTCACAGACCCTCCACCAGAAAAGTTACACTATGCACTTTTAATAGTGGTACCAATTTCTATAGTTTTATATTTTATTTTTTACTTGTAAATATACATTCATATAATTGTGCCTTATTGCCATCAGTCTCTTGCTATCTTTGCTACTTATTCTGAATTTATTATTAACATTTATATTTCTGCTCTTTGTTATTTTAATATATTGTGATGTTTGAGCTACTGTGGCCAAATAATTTCCCTTGTGGATCAGTAAAATTTGTCTAAGCCTAAATACCAAATATCATAAAACACACAAAAAACACTGTCAAGTCTACTACTTACCTCCTATACACTACTATATGCAGTTTCCAGAGAACAACAATAAAAAGACAATCAAAGAACTGACTCTAAAGGAACACCATGGTCCTCTGATGTTTTGTTTTGACATTTTGAGACTGGATACCAAGGATCCTGCAAAACAGATAAACACCAAGGCTACAAAATATTTTTCAATTTGAATGTGAAATGGGCAACCGAGAAGGGTTAGAAAACAAATCATTGAAAACAAACAGAAACAGAAAATCTAGATATTTTTTTAGAATCTAGCACCATAAAATACCACCTGAGTTCATTCACATTGACAACGCCAATCAGAGTTTCTTCTATATGTTTGTGACACTGACAACACCACCGCTTCTGTTCACTGACAAAAATTAACATTAATTTCAAGTACAGCAGAATGAACAGAAGACTTTGATCACAGATGCTAAGTTTTGTGCCAGCCTTAGTTATGAGTTATGAGGTTGGCTCCAAGCTTCAAAAGTTTATCCAATATTTTCCCTGCCTTCATTTGTGTACTACCCTGCCCAAAAAAACAAGGTTAGATTTTCTGTAGCAAGCTTAGTGTTACTGGCAGTGTAAGCAGACCAGTGATAAAGTATATGAAGACCACATGTTGATTGCAAAGAGTCTTTTATTTTCTTTGTGTTCAAGTACGGTCCTCTCTCAGCAGGGTCATCTAAGAAGCATTGAAACACAATAACACACAACTCGCACCAGAGCCTGAGCATGTTCAGGTGGGATATCTCTTTTGATTAGGCATAAAGGGGGGGCTCCAATCTGCAGTTTCCACATTTAGGTCAATAGAACAAGTCCTGTTGTACACCACGTTTTCTCTGCGAACATTTGTTGCATTTCGAGACACGGACATCTGCACATAAAAATCATATATATATATTTATATTTATGTTCATATATTTATAGATTTGTCATTCTATATCAGCAATTCATTCTAGTGATTTTAACCTTAGGATTTTCTCGTTGTAAAACTGGACAGCCAGTCAGTAAGAATGCCTTTGATAGACATTGATTTATACAGGATTGCACACACACGCACACTGTACACTCAACAGTAGTCACATGCATGCATAGATACTCGCACCCCAGTTTACATGGACACACAGGCACGCACCACTCACCAGCCATTCACACCCAGCCCACACAGAGAGGCAGATCTGTACATTTATGTGATAGCATGTCTCCTCCTGATCAAAACACACGGAAATCAAAGTTTGAAAGAGCAGAGGATGTTTTGTCTGTTTGTAAACTTCGACAGTATATCCTGTTACGAATGTCCCTTAATGTCTCTTTAAAGTCCATGATAAGGACTGGTCCGTGAGATGTCAAAGTTTGGCACAATGTTGATTCTCTGTCTTTCTCTGCAGTTGTACAATATTCATGTGGCTCTTACAGAGGGCAAGTTGGTTTCACACAATGACAAATCACTAAAAAGTTAACATGGCCAATAAGACTGTATCCCCAAAGTAAAAGACACTGTGTGCTTTAAACACATTGTTGAGGCAGTGAAAATGCACTTCTGTTGACTGGGCTCTGGAGCGGCGTTACTCAATCTGATGCTCTTATGCAGAGGAGGACATTTTAGCTTATTCACGAATGTAGTAAAAAACAAAAATACTGCTGGACATCCTCTTTAGCTGGACAAATAACACAGGTTTTGTCTGTATACTGCTTCTTGGTTGTCATTTGAAGGATTGTGTTTGCTGCTTGTTGGGAAAAATGGTTTCATAAACGACCCCATCAAAAATGTGTAATATACACACTATATTACCTTTGAACTGTACAAAGAAAATGGTTTAAAAAGATTCCTCTTTGTTTGCTGTTACATTTTAGAAAAGTACAAATGAAAAGAAGCAAAAAAACAGTGACAAAAAGAAGTCTCTCGTAGATGACATTCCTTCAAAACAAATTGAAAAGACTGTGTAGGCGGCAAGGCCATTGCGACAAATAAGAGGGGATAAAAGCAGTGCTACGTTTCTCACTTGAGTGAAATAATAGACATCCACGACTTTGTCCAGTGTGCTTTCATCTTCCCTGTGCTTTATATCCCTCCTCATAAACCCTCATACATCTGTGTTTGGTCCTTTATCCACGTCTGTCTATGCTAAAGGTCCTGTGACTTTCTACCATTCAAAGCATCAATAAAACATTCCTACATTCCTGCATCCCTCTCTCTACTCTTTCCTGTTTGGCTGTTTTCATCATTGCAACTTTGCCCCTTCCACTTCTCTTCCACTACTCTTCATATACAGTAGCACCCATTTGAACCCATCCCTTATCCTCTTATGGTGCAAAAAAGCTGACTATGAGGAAATAAAGCAATTTTAGGGTAAAAAGTAAAATGCCGGCATGCACATGCACTGTCTCTCTCTCTCTCTCTATCACACGCTTTCTCACCTGAACTTTTTGACTTTGTAATTTGCTCCATACCCTTCCACTGTCTTTTGAGTTTCCTTTTTAAAATGCCACTGAACCTACTCTTTAACCTTGAGTTTGCTGCAAAAATAATCCCTTTCTGACACACATACATACACACAGTCTCTCGCCCCGCACTTGTTTTTTTTGTTTTGTTTTTTTAAGTTTTAAAGTAGATTACACCCAAGAGTCAGGAGAGGCCGGGTAGTGGCTGGTCTCGTAGTTCAGTTCGCTGTATGGCCTAGAAGCTGAGTAGAAGTCTACGTAGTTCCCGGTGGATTTGAGACCTAGGTGCATTCGCAGATCCTCTCTTGGGTCCCGCGGGGGTCCAGTGGAGTTGGGGGGCTGCTGTGGTTGGGCTTGGGGCTGAGCTTGTGCCGGAACCTGGGGCTGCGGTTGGGACGGCGCTGGGGGCGGAGGGGGTCCCTGGTCGTCATAGAAGGCCTCGTCAAAGCTGCGACTCTGGCTGTGCGGAGGCGGCTGTGGGGGCTGAGGCTGTGGAAAGGAGGGTGGGGGAGGATAGGGGTCGTAGTCTTTTAGCACGGCCGCAGATGGGCTGTCCTGCTGGGGTTGGGGGGGCACGACACAAGGCTGAACAGGAGCCTGGTAAAAGGTTGTGGGGAGTAAATTGCAAGAGAGGAGCAGTGGTGAAGAAAGAGGAGGAGGAAAGAATGGAAAGGCAGAGAGAAAAAGAGAGAGAAATGCGGATGATGAGATAGACAGAAGTGGAGAGGCCAGTGTCAGATACACAGCAAGCAGGAAAATCCCAGGTTTGAAAAGCAAGTACAGAGGGTAAAAAAGGCTTCGATAGGAATCAAATAGGATGGGGCTCATGCTGTGAATTCTCCATTTCATGCAGGTATTGAAGGGAAGGGCTCATCTGCTGCACTATAACTCTCAAAGACAGGAGACATGGTTGCCCGGAAGGCACTGGCATATGGCACAAAACAGATCTACTTCTATGAAAAATGTTATATATAGCACTGAGCAAAATTTGCATTCAAATAAGCTATATTTCAGATAAAATTTCAGATTAAGGATATTGAAGATCCTTTTTGAGGCTATACTCAAGCCCTAATAAACGATAACCGTAAAATGAAGTGTAATGGCTATGTGCACTGGCTTTAACCTATGTGTAACTATGTAAAAGGAAGTATTAAGGACTCACCTGGTTCTGCTTGATGTCATCACTGGTCGTCAGGTAGGAGTTTCTGAATAACGTAGATGTCCCACAGGATATTTGAACTGAAATGAGAAATATAAATATGCAACATCTGCTACTGGATCTGCTTTCTGTTAGATCGAAATGAAAGTATAAAATTCATTTCAAGTTAAAAAATGGAAGGTATAAGGAGACAGCTGGAAACCCCCAAAACTCATATTGGAATAAGAAAGAGCGGGGGAGATAAAGAAAATCAAGGCATATCAGTGAGCGAAAGAAAAATGGAGCGAGGTGCAGAATGAGACAGTAAAGGGCAGAGAGTGAGATGAGAAATCTCAGAGGAAAACAGAGGCAAAAGAAAGATTAAGAGCAGGGATAAAACTACACTATTTAATTTCTGCCATCACAAAACGCACCTGCCATGCCGTCTTTGCGGGACGTGTGCTCTCCCTTGCTGCTATGGAAACCGGCGTTGGTTGCAGTGGAGTCGTAGTCCATCTTGCGTTCCTTCAGACTCATCATCTCTCGGGGGGAGGCTGGGGCGCTCGCTACACCCATGCCCAGGCAGACACGCACACACACACCCGCACGCACAAAAGCAACACAGTGAGCAATAATCAGGCACGGAGCAGACAGCGGGAGCGTTCACACAATAATGGGCTTTTGTGTGTCCGGGTCCTCAAGGTGCCCAGTCATTATTCATCATTTAGCTTGTCAGAGGAAAGGGTCACCTACAACATGTTTAAAAACGCCTGGGAATTCACTCATACATTCAGGACCACCAGCTCCAGACACATGAGCTGAATATCAAATAATGCACGTATATACCATCACTTTTACTATATTTAGAGCTTTGAAACTACAAGGAACAAAAACATTCAAAAAGGAGAAAATGGAAAATGTGTGACTTGCATGCATGTGTTTTATCCATGGTTTCATCTGTAATATGCATGTCTTTGGGAATAGTTGAACCTTGGTTAAAAGTTTGTAAGGCTTTTAATTTATTAATTACGAAAGAAGGAATCCCAATTAGTTACATACTAATTGTAGCCCTATTCAAAAAGCATAAAACCTTAATTTCATTAGTTATTTTTCATTTGGCAACTTTAGGAACGGCTGAACTCACCATTCATTTATCTTTAACTCTTAAAATGTTTCTTCACAGTTTAAAAACACAGATTTCCAGAATTTTAACCATAAACTTAACATAAACTATTGCAGTGAGCCTTGTTTTTTGGACTTAAAATGTTCGTGTTAACCAGCTACCCATGATCCTTGAGTTTTTATTTCGCTATTTTGTCCATAAATAAATTCCTTTTCCTAAAAACACTGAACTCTGCTCCAATTTCGCCGCTATAACTGCTAGCCTCATGAGTTTCATTTGACTGGAGCTGAACGCTATGGGTGACGTCACACTCCCTTAGGCCATTTCTTTATACAATCTATGATTTTATTAACTCACTGACAGATAAGGATAAGGTCAAGATGTCAGTACACATTTTCACCAAGTCACTTTTGCATGTATGAATCACAGTACTTTTTGATTTTAATATTTCGAAAAGAGGTTATAATAATACTTTTTTAGTCTTGTATAGCTTTCATGTGCAAAGTGATGTTCAAATGCATGCTTTATTCATAAATGAGGGGGTACACTATGTATAATCACAGGGTTGAAACTTAGACACATGCATTGACTGTTCACTCTTTCAGCATGAATCACCAATTCACTAAAGCGTCTATAAATGGAAATAAATATTAGTTGGACAGACCTTTAGTAACACAGGGAGAACATGCAAACACCTTCAGTTTATTGGTTTGCTGCCCCTGGTTCCATCCATGTCTTTTTTTTTGTTGTTATTCTCCCACTCCCTCTACCTCAAACATAAACTCAGCCTTCCATATTGTAATCCCTTATTGCATACTTAAAGTGCTTACTCAGGGCCTCTTATCTAGACACAGTGAATTGCCACTATCCTGCCTACCTGTGTATCAGCCTCTTCAGTCTGCTTGCCTAAACATTCCTTTACTTGATTCAGCGTATGCATAATATTTAAGAGTCATATCAAACCTATTGCTTATCAAAGTCAAAGGCGCTCTATGGGTGAGCTGTATTCACATAGAGCACCACAGAAACAAGATGAATGGTGGTTAGCCTTGTACAAAGAAAAAAGACTAAATCATTTAGCTGAGACCAGATTTTTCTTTTTCAATTTACTGCAATTTACCTACAATTATGACAAATTCTGAGAAACTTCCTGTCATTGGAAATCAGACTTCTCTGACTTATGCTTCTAAGAGCAGTACTGCAATGCACAAACATGAAAATTGCTTTAGAAAGAGGCATTTTCCACAACACTAACACGCCATTATTCTATCATAAATTAATTAAATTACAACATTTTCTTTTAAGTGAGAAGAATCCCAGATGTCTTCTCAGAAAAAGTAGATATTTATTCCGATAAACTGCAAGATCTTTGTCATACTCCCTCAGAGCATCAACACAAGTAGAATTACAGACTGCATGATGACTAAAAGGTTTGCTTTTATTTCAAATTGAACAAATCAATGAAATTTAAGTGAGTGAATGACTGATGAAACAGAGGTGTAATTGAAAAGTTTGGTAAGGTACTGACTCATTTGCTATTTGCATACTGCTGTTGTGTCCTTGGGAAAGACGCTTCACCCACCTGCCATGTACAGGTGACTGGCCTGACTGTGTGTTCATAATATGATATATAATGTATGATAATGTATTTAATGCTAATGGTCAAAGAGGCTGCAGGCTCCTTTAAGTGTGAGAGTCGTGTTGAGGGTTGAAAGAACAATGAAAAATTTTAAGCAACAATGGCACATATCTACAATAAATGCAAGACTAATGCATTGTTATTGTTATCTAAATACTCTAGTGTCCAATGACTAACTAATTATTAATAAATTATAGAGTTATTTTTTTGTTATACATTGTAATTATTTGTAATGAATACTCAAAATAAAGCAAAAAAAAAAAAGTTGTGTTTTCATTCACACATCATCACATATCATTAGTCTGTCTATTTCTAAAGTCCAAAATGTTCTGTTCCAGCTTGTGATGTCATATAGTGATATAGTTTTCAAGTTAACAACTAGCATTTATTAACTAATATAATAATTAATATAATATTAAAACATAATTTAACTTATCAAATGCACTGCAGATGTTTAAATGAAAGAATGAGTGGGTGCTCTTGGTAGTAAGTTCTCAGTGTCTATAAAATATTGGGAACTAGTCCACTACTATAATGAATGCAAAAGTCTCTCTTTATGTCTCCTCCTTTGCCCTCCTTGCAAATTTCCCTCCCATGGTGCATTTCTGTAGCTCTCTGACTCCTCCTCTCTCAGTTTGCCTGCACGTACATCATTACTCCTCCTGCTTTGATCCATCTCTAAGGGGCTGAATGGCAGACTGGAGCGTATGCAGAGAGGAGATAGAGATGCATATGGCCCAGTGCATACTGTAAGAATGTGAGAGAGCGCTGAGGCAGCCAGTGAAGAGTGAGAAATGAGAGCAAGAGGTGAGAAGAAAGCATGATTACCAAAAGGAGGGAATGAGACGCTCCAATGGCTCCGTGCGGATGAGTGGAGAGACAAAAGGGAGGTGCAGATAAGTAAGAGGTGAGGAGGCTGTTCCATCACCAACTCTTCTATTACAAATGTCCACAAATTGCTCTCTCTTCTTCTATAATCTGAAAACTGTGTATTTCCAATGTCATTGGCCAAAGTCAAATCCTCATCCTGAGTGTCCTCCCTGCATTAACCGTGCTCCTATCCATAATTCTTCGTGCCTACTTGCGTTCTCTCCCTCTGTTTATCTGTCCTCCCTCTTCCTCTGTCCTTCCTTTCCTCTCTTCTCTGGGTCCTTGAAGACCTCTCTAAGCCGGGAGGAAGGAAAAGTATTTTTCTGCCTCATCAGCTTGCTAAGCCCAGTGTGGAGAAAGCAGAGCTAAAGGCCTTTCTGCCACTGATGCTAACAGCTAATGCTAGTGCGCCCTATGCAGAGCATGAAAGCCAGTGGGCCCGGGCTAAAGGCTAGCTATAATCATACTTCACTGGATGAACGCTTGTGGCTGGCACTGATGCTAACAGTTGTTAGCTTAAGACTGATGGACTGGTAAGTGTTGATGCCACTGGCTCTGAAATAGAGTCATTTCTATTTTATAATGTATATACACTTAGGTTTTATTTATTTTTATTTACTATACTGGGACATTCAGTAATCTTTCTCTGCTTATCCTCTCTAGTAGCTCCGTCTTTGTTTAGTACACAAGAGCCTGATATGAGGACAACTCTGGATCATAACTGCACCTGCAAATTTACACTGACTTCAGTCTTTGATCGTTGCAACAAACATGTTTAGTTCTTAGTGATTTTGCTTCAAGCGAAAGAGTCTGCAAACTTTGTTTCTCAGTTGGTCTGGACAAAACCCAAAAAACATGAAAGATGAAAGCGGAGGAATATTTGGGTGCTTCTTTCGCATCTTTCATCCTGTTAAAGTAAAGGTTCTAATTGGATTATTAATTGGCTCTGCTCATTCTTAAACAGCTGTGGTCCATGGTCAAACACCTTTCTGTCAGCAGTGAATTCTTTTCCTTGTTTAGTGTCTCACAGATGGATAGAGCAGAGGACCCTGACACACACTGCATGGGCTGGATGCTTGTGTGATGCTCACCAGAGCGGTTATTTGGAGACGTCCTGACAGGAGAGACAGAGGGGGTCCGCGACGAGGAGTAAGGCCTCTGTCTGTCCCTCTCTATCGTTGATGCAGAGCCCACAAAGTGATACTGAGAGTAGCCGTCCTGCAAGCACACACAAGCAAAGGGAAGATGGACATATTAGCATCAATCATGTACAACACTGTGGTGACTTTATCTGGTATCTGCTTGTTGGGCGATCATGCTGTTTTTAGAGTTTAAACCCAAAATGAAATTGCAAGAAGCAGAAGGCTACTGTTAAAAAAAACAAAACAAAAAACCCCAAAACAAAAACAAAAACATTACCAAGACAGTAATAAATAGAGATGTAGAGGCCTCATAGTACTCACAATACAAAGCCCTGGCAGTCTTTTTATTGAAATAAATATTCTAAAAGAAAATTAATAGCATTCATGTTGGAGAAGTAGAACAGAGGTCCATGGTCATTGTGGTATTGTTATGATTTGGGTGCTGCTACAACAAAACAATGTATTTTAGGCAAATACTGGCCATACCGGCTGGTCAAAGTCTGGTCTCGTCTCTGGTGATCTCAGAAGCTAAGCAGGGCTGGGCCTGGTTAGTTCAGTACAATCAGGTTCCACAGTGGAGTGCTAGTGGTCGTTGTGTCCTTAGTCAAGACACTTCACCCACACTGCCAAATAAGTATGTGGTGTGTGTGCTAGTGCTGGTGGCGGCGCAGACTGGCAGTCTACTCCAGGGCAGCTCTGACTAAAATAGCAGCTTACCGATAGTGAGTGTGGAGTATGAATGATGCACTGTAAAGCGTTTTGTGTGTCTTGAACGACTTTATATAAATGCAAAGATTAATTAAAATGAATTTGCTATTTGAAATACAGTGCCTTTGATACAGCAGTATGACCATTTCTCAGTAAGTCAGTTTTGCAATATGACTATTTCACAGTTCTTGTCACATTGCCTTCCTATTGCAATAACAGTCCAAGTTACAGAGAGACATTTCGAAGGTAATGCAAAGAGACACTAGGGTGAACCAGCAAAACAATGTACATGGAGGAGGGGGGTTGACTTATGTTGTCTTATCCAAAAGTGAGATTACTGCAACTGAAAATTCTGAAATGTTTGATGCTGTTTCTGAGAGAATAACAAACACAGTGCATAACATAGCCATGCTTTGTTATAGACATCAATGAGCCTTATTGGAAGCCACATAAACAGAATTGGCAATAAATAAGAAATGTCACAAGATAGAAAAAAAATTACTGTGCTTGCTAATAATTTAAAGTAGACAGCTAACCCTTGTACATACTTGAAACAATTAAAACAGAAAGGAGGTGTGAAGTGTATTGAGTTCATTAACATACTGTAGGTGAGTTATGTAGTTAATGCAGACATTACAAGACACTTACAACCACTCACACAATACCAATTAACACGCCTGTATTGAGCCAGGGGGAGTAAGATATTGCCACTGTTAAATCTGAATAATAAAAAATAAAACAAGTAATGATTTGGTGAACGCAATTACTGCCATGCCAATGACTTTGTATCTATATTAGTCTAAACGTGATTGAAGAAAAACCCTTTTCACAAGAACGGATTGAGAGAGTCAACAATCACAGAGCTGGAACCAATTCAATTTAGCATTAAGATAATTAGCTACCTCGGAAAGCTAGGCCCAAGCTGGTGATAAAAGATAATGCTAGCTTATTCCATCACATCCTTTACAGTGAAAAGGTCTATGCTAATGTGACTGGACTGTTATAAATGTACTTTGAAAGAGGAAGGACAGTGAAACGATGAACAAGTAGCAAAGTCTGCCATGGAAATCACCTATCAATATTAATACAGCCCATACATTTCATATATATTTTATACTGTGTTACATATACATTGACTACCTACTTTTAATTTGGAACATAGATTAGTGGGAGTGATACTAGTAGGAGTAAAATTATGATGAAGATTTTTGTTTTTGCACATAAGCAAATTTTACATTCAAGTTATATCTTTATGCTACTATTACTTTTTAATTATTTATTTAGCACTTTCACTTGCAAACAGAGATGAATAATGCGTTGAGGTAATCCAGGGTGTTATAGAGGTATATATCGACAGGAGACTTAGCAATGAGGAGGGAGATGTTGGGTTACTATACTGTCCCAGGTCTGGACTTTGGACTAATAGAAAATGGGATCTTCTGACACGCTGAGGTTCAAAGGTAACTTGCTTGCAGACTTCCGTGGTTTTCTCATCTCCTCCGTATCTCACTCTCCTTGTTTGACATTGCCTCCCATCACCCAGCTCATTATCTCCTGCATAACCTCCTGAAGCTTCACTCTCTATTGAATATTGAATGATGTATGTACACGTATATATTCTACACAGTATATGTCTATTAATAAGGCTGGGGTGAAGTGATGGCCAAAGGGAGTCTGCAGGACACCCCAGGGCAAAAAACATTTTAACCTTAACAATAATTTCATAGTGGAACCAGTTATGTGTTGTACAGGAGTAAAAATTTTTGCTGAAATAAAATGATTGTATTATTAAAGTATTGCGCTTTCTGATTTATGTTATAATGTCGTTTTTTCATCAGAAACATACCTGCATATTTAGGCTGAGGCTCTGTTCCACCTTGTGACATCATGTGGTAATAATGAAGGGGCCCCATTGTGTTTTTAAACTCCATACAACTTCACTAGAATCATTTGGATAATTTTAGCCCTGGAATTGCCAATCTCCTCTGAACAAAAAGTAAAATGTAGCTATTAACTTGAAAACTACCACTACATGAGAGCAGAAGGTGGAGCAGAGCATTTTGAGCTTTGGAGGTACAGACAGACCAATAATAAAAGATTATTCAAACATGCATGAACGAAACAATATTATAACAAGGCTAAAACCTCACAAGAGTCACTTTAGTGTAATATAGGACCTTTAATAGGTTTGTGTGACTTGCAGTTTTTCCAAGTTCATCCTTATTTCAGTATTTATGAAGTGAAATTGACACAAGAAGGCAAATTGACACCCACGTTGCTCAGAAGTGAAAGACAAAGCAACCTTATATCCTCTAAAAATCTGTGATTATGCAAAGAACTTATCAATGCTCAATCAATAATCTATTTGTATTAGTATTTCTGCCATTTTAAACTTTATCACCCATTTTAAACATTGCCTTGTACAACCCCCAATTGGAAAAAGCCCCGTCAAAGTGTTCAGAAAAGTAAACAAGTTGCTATTTTCGTCGATTTAAACTCCCACACATGCTCTGATGTGGGTTGAGTGCTTCACCAAGTCTGTCAGTGTTCATCTTAGTCGGCTTTGAGATCATGCAACCTCTCCCACCTCCGTCATTCCTATTGTGAATACTAATGACGCACAGAAAAAGGGAAAAACAATACTTAGATATTTTTTATAATAGATCTTTCATAGTTCCAGCTCTTTCCCTTTTAAAACAGTGGACTTCCCTTCCCTGTCCACCCACCTGCGCTCTCCAGCTCACTCCCCACATTGTACAAATGAGAGGAAATAAAGACCGAGTTGCCAGGCGACCATTTTGCCTGTTGCTTTTACCATGACTCCACGCTGTTGTTGAAGGTCAAGACACTAGGAGCTAAAAACTTGATTAGAGCTGCTACAAATGATCTGCACAGTATGGGAGTGTATGTGTGTCTATGTAAGTGTGTGTGTGTGTGTGTGTGCGTGTGTGTGCATGTGTGTGTGGATTGGGAGCGCTGATGCCAGACACCAATTATAGCACACAGCAATGTAAAAGGTTACACATGATGGGTAGAGTGTCCCCTCTGGGCCTGTGCCACCAATGTACTCTCAAATATACTATGCTAATGTACATATTTTGCTAAATATACACTAAAGTAAACAATTAAGGCTCATTCTCATTTGAAATTAAAAAGATCTCAGCACCTGGACTTAACGTCTAACATCAAGGTCCGATATTGCACAAAATTAACTCTTGTGAGCTTTAAGTCATGTTGGAATTTTGTTACTTCCTCAAAAACACACTAGGAGTTGTGTTTTGTTTCATTAATTTGACTAATCCTAATCACCAAACTTCAAAATGCTCGGTTCCACCTTGTAATATCATATAGTAGTAGTAGTTTTCAAGTTAAGAGCTACATTTTACCTTTTGTTAAATAAAGATTGGAAAAATTATTCTAGTGAAGGTGTATGGAGTTTAAAAACAGAGTGGAGCACTTCCTGTATTACCACATGACAACACAAGGTGGAACAGAGTGATGTCGGTTTGAGAGAAGAACTGAGCCAAAATATGCAGGGTTTGTGTGTTAAAACAAGTGTGAATGAAACAAAACACAACTCCTGTTATGTTTTTGATGAGGAAACAGCATTATAACACTGATCAGAAAATACTATGATATGGTAGCCTGATTCATCAACTGGTTTCACTTCGTGGAAATCGTCTGACCTCGGAGCATTAGAATTCGTTCACTAGATGGTAGGTGGGGACTTTTTTTAATTTAACCAATCGCTAATTGGTGGTGACGTTTGTAATGCGCCTGTAATGGGGCTAACTGGTATATAAAGCTTTTCCCAAATCCCATCGGAAGAAGGGCAATAACGTCTTTCCCCTTGATAAAATTCACCAAACATTCTCTTTATTCTGGCTGGATCTCGGGAATCGTTGCCAACACAGAAAGCTCTTCTCTGATTGGCTGGTGCCCGAATTTGCACTTCTGGGGTTCTTGCAAACCGTCTAGGGCACAGGTGTCTAACATAAGGCCCTCCAAGACCTTTAATCTGGCCCTCGGCTGATTTTTTACAAAAATATTTTAATTATATTTTCTATTAAAATATTGGTAATTTTCTGTGGTGCTTAGCACAGCAGCGTCTCCAGCGCCTCTGTGTGTGACCCCTCCCACCAGAGCAGCACAAATGAAGACTTGTCTCTTTCCAAACGCTCTTAAAAAACTTTGACTGTTGATCGTGACACCCTCATTAACAAAATGTCAAAAGTGAGAAAAGTGGAGCCGAGTGCAGGATTTTCCAAGAAAAATAGATTTATTCCTTTTTGCACACAAGTTCATGTTAAAACATTGTGTTGAAATTGCGTTTTTCTTGCATTTCAGGTTGTTCATAATATTATAATA